CTCTGCTCTTGTGAGGCCCCATCTGGAGTACTGAGTCCAGGTCTGGAGCCACCAGTACAAGAAGGACAGGGAGCTGTTGGAGAGGGTCCAGAGGAGAGACACAAAGATGATCAGGGGACTGGAGCACCTCCCCTATGAAGACAGGGTGAGGGAGCTGGGCTTGTTCAGCCTGGAGAAAAGTAGGCTGCAGGGTGACCAGATTACTGCCTTTCAGTACCTAAAGGGAGCCTACAAACAGGAGGGGAATCAACTCTTTGAAAGGGTAGATAACTGCAGGACAAGGGGAAACAGTTTTAAGTTGAGGGAGGGAAGATTTAGGTTGGATGTCAGGGGGAAGTTCTTTACAGAGAGAGTGGTGAGGTGCTGGAACAGGCTGCCCAGGGAGGTTGTGGATGCCCCATTCCTGGAGGTGTTCAAGGCCAGACTGGATGGGGCCCTGGGCAGCCTGGTCTAGTATTGAATGGGGAGGTTGGTGGCCCTGCATGTGGCAGGGGGGTTGGAGATTCATGATCCTTGAGGTCCTTTCCAACCCTGGCCATTCTGTGATTCTGTGATTCTGTGAATACCTGAGCTGATAACATCATCTCAGTTAGTGGGATGTATATAATAGCATGGTGTCAACTGCTGGCAAGTTTGTCCTGTTTAGAGACCTCTGTTGTGCATGAGACACATAAAGAAGAGAGTGTTTGCAGATGATGTGGTGGATGTTTTGTCCCTGGAGATATTCAAGGTCAAGGAGGATAGGGCTCTGACCTGCTCGAGATGTAGGTGTCCCTGTTCATTGCAGGGGAGTTCGATTTGATGGCCTTTTAGGGCCCCTTCCAACTCAGTCTGTGAATTCCCAGGGATTTCACTTCAGTGTACGAACTTGCCTTGGATATGACCTCCACTGCTGCTAAACACTCACTAATTTAAGGAAGAATCAGCAATTCAGAAAAGATGAAGCTGGGTTTCCTAGGTGTCATCACTTAGAAAGCTTTGTAAATTCCTAATCTTTTAAAATCAAATGTTTGTCCACCCAGGGGTGAAGAAGAAAACAGAAAAAAAGATATTCAAAATAGAAAGGGCATGCTCTTCTCTCTCTTCCATGAACATTTTTGCTGAAGGGCTACAAGAGCAGTGGGGCAAGGGGGCTGGATCGGACCCCAACACCACTCCTCGGAGCATCTTCCGCCCCCGGAGGGCAGCTCGGGGCGCGGTGCTCCGGGACATTCCCATCCTCGGGGCCGCGTGGCCGCAGCCGCTGGATGGCAGCATGTCCCTGCCGAGAGACCGCCGGGGCACCCGCCCTCCTCCTTCCCACCGGCAGCCAGGAAGGAGGCAGGGGTGGGGAGAAATAAAAGAGACGAAAGTTAAGTGTTTTCCTTTGCCAAAGTCCTCCTTAAAAGCAGAAGGAAAAGATAATTGCTCTGGATTGTAAACGCTCAGTGTTAAATGTCACGAAACAAAAGAGCCAACAGGCGTAGCAAGTTTTGAAGCATGGCATCCACGAAATGAAACGTTGGGGTGGGTCGCCCCTGTCTGCCTCCATCACCTCCAGACCCTGGTCTTGTGTTGGGTGTGGGGTCCTGACACAGAGACCCCTCTGCTGTGGCAAGCAGGGGCAAGGAAGGACTGATTTTCTTCTAAACTGTCCTACAGAGCTGAGAGCCACGATTTGTTCTGCAGAAACACACCCTGGTTGTAAAAATCCAGCAAACCCAAATCAGCCTTGTGTGCTCCGGGCAAGAAAGAAGGAAGAGGGCACACAGGCCTTTCTGTAACCTTTCCTCTTCCCCTTGCTCTTAGGCAGCCTGGGGCTGTCCAGATCTCAGCGGCTTTGAGAAGAGATTAGCCAGAGCACTCCAGGCTGCAGCTGCAGCTTCCTCCAGCCCCAGCCTGCCTCCAGGCTTTCCCATCCCAATGGGAGCTAGGAGCAAAACTGCTCAATGTCAGCTTATCCGAGGTCACTGCATCCTGCCAGAGAAGAACTGTGCTGGGCAGGACCCCCAGCCCCTCTCCTTATCTGCAGTTGTCACCTTTTGCTCAGCGGTGACCACAGCTCAACCTGTTCTCCCAGACCACACAACAAACCTGCCTTGCTGTGGCTGGAAAGTGGCAGCCAGGAGGTCTTGGGTATATTTATCTTCACCCTGCCCTTTAGAAAGGCACTGAGAGGATCAGCATTTTCTCCCTTGCTCACACTCATGCCACAGCCATCTTCTTACAGGCTGTTTCTGTCTAGTTAGATAGGTTGTCTTCTGTGTCCGAAGTGGCAGAAAGGGGCTTTAGTGCTGTTTGAAATCAAACCCAAATGATCCTGTAATTACCATTGGTGTTTATAACAACGTGAGGAATGCACCCCTTTGCCCCTGGGCACCAGTCCAGCCTGCCCCTTGCTTCCTCATCTGTTGCCATCCTCCACTCTATCAGAAGTGACTGCCAAAAGCAGGATCACACAGGAGCCACCCCGAATTCCTCCTTGAACTCTGAAGGCTGGGGACTGGGTCTTACGGCAGCTACTTGGATTCAAGGACTTTCTCAATTAACTGCAGTCTCAGAGGGCAAAACTGGGTGGGATGGGAGCAGTGAATGACCCTATTTGCTGAAGTGCTGGTACCTCCTCATGGTCAACTATCTGCTCCATACAATTCCCTGTTTGCCATCTTGCACAAACAGACCAGTGCTGAATGTAGGAATGCCCACATGGATGTCAATGTCTTGCATCACTCAGGAGGTCAGATCTGATGGCCCTAAATCTGCACAGTGTTTGGAATGTGATCCTTAGTCCAACAAGCTTGGAGGGCCTCACACACCTTTGCTGAGCCTGTAATGCCTGTGTCTCATACTAGCAGAGATGGAGTTGATAAAATTGGCCAAATGCTGGCCCGAATGAAGTGGTATAAGTAACAGCACACATGGAAAAAGCTGATTGCTAGCTGTCATCTGCAACCGAATACAGACCTCAGCTTTGATGCACGAGTCAGTGCTATCTGTGGTCAGATGACAGGGAGGGGCTCACTGATGGGCATGTGGCCACTCAGAGGAGGAAAAAGTAAATAAATCACTGCAGCATTGGCGGGGCCAGGCCAGGACAGCTGAGCCCATGGCTGAAGTGGTGCTGATCAGATGGCCCACATGCTGGGCTACCCGGGTCCAGAAGTTCAGAGGTTGTGAAGGAGAGGGGGTGTGTGATCAATGCAGGAGGCACAGAGATGCCAAGAGGCAGTGGTAACTGCTGGAGGAGGAATGGGTTGTGTGCATTTTGTGTTTGGGGCATCTTCCCATTCCTGAAAACATTCAAGACCAGGCTGGATAGGGCCGTGGGCAGCCTGATCTGCTGGGTGGCAGCCCTGCTTAGAGCAGGGCAGTGGAACTGGTAGTCTTTAAGGTCTCTTCCAACTTCAGCCATTCAACGATTCTATGATTCTATGACACATGAGTCTTGGCAGACCCAGGAGGAGAGCTGACGCTGCCCTATAAATCCATATCTCAGTACAGTGGTTGGCTCTACTGAAAACTTTCGGGGTGTGGTTCAAACACTCTTCTCCCATAAAAACACAAGCACACTCAAAAATGCTTCATCTGGGTGCTCTGCTTTTCTTTTTGCCCCAAAATGCCAGAAGTAGCCTCAAGGGTAGTGAAAACTGAAACGAAAACATTGCAGCTTTTTTAAAAATACCAGCTGCAGTTTGAAGCAGCAGCTAAAATCTAATTACAGTGCACACCCAGCAGTGTAAGGTGCCTGTGTGCTTGTTATAAAAAGCAGCTATAAAATCAAGGAAGAGTGAACAGAGGAGCATGTTTGACTCAAGGACTGCGTGATCCAACATGCTCTTAGCCCAGCCAGGCAGCTTGCTGAACAAGGGATATTTGGAGTTTCGGTCTTCTCAGCACCCTCCTTGCAGTTGTTTCAAATGAAAGACTTGTCACGATTTTTTAGCTGTGAGACATTTGCTATTTATGGAGGATCCGTTTCCCTCTTCCCTGACCCGAGGTGGCCTCACAAAGTGCCAGCCTCAGCATTAAGTGGACCATTTCTATCCCATGGCCCTGCTTCCCTCATGCCAACTGGGTTGGTAGGTGCATTATAAATAGCTCTCCTAGAAAGGTGTAACAGATAAAGGTTGACATTTGCACTCCTAAACTCCTCTGCTATTAAAATTTCTCAAATTTTGCCTGAAGAGCTTGCTGAAGCCTCCTGTCTTCAGCACTGTGTTCTTAGGGGCTGAGTATCTGGAAATCAGAGCAAAGAGTTGGCAGAAGTCTTTGCTGTAACAGCAGGTAAGTTAATGAACATTAAGATAAAGAGTTTGGGAGGAAGAAAAATGGATCTGGGTGACTTGGTATATGGCTCTTAATGTCAGCTATCAACTACTGATTTGAACCACGGTGCTGTGCTATTTTCACCCAATTGTGAAAGACTGGTGATATTGAAATCATCACTCAATTTCTTTGAACTTTCTTTCACATTCATCAGCTCCATAGCTCAGCATCCCAAAAACCTAAGTCTGACAAGGATATGGTGGCTGCTATGTCAGCCAGGGCAGAGTTCAGATTTCAGAGCAAGGCCCTCTTAAGTGAGAAACAACTAATATCTAATTTTGTATATTACCCTCCTCTGCTGTTCCCTTGAAAGATAAGTGCTTTTTTTGTATTAGAAAAGGAAATTTTATGCTTATTCTGAGGCCAAAACTAACTTTTAGATGCTTCTAGATGGATAAGAGCTGAGCAGAGGGTGTGAACGTAGTATAAGAGCCAAATGTTCATTCTTTGGTGGCTGTGAGGCAGGGCTTCTTGATGTTCATGAGGGTAGCAACAAGGATGAGAGTAAGGGCAAGGCAGTGACTCCTGTGTCTTCTTACCTTACCTATATCTGCATTGTTTCTGAAATCTTGCAAAAAGAAGATTTTTTGACAGTTCCATTGATGTCATCTGATGTCAGGGTATAAATGGCGATTTAGAAGGGAAATCAGGCAAAAATCCACCCTCTAACTTTTTTTGTCCTATTTGGAAAAGAAACAAAACACAAATTGCTGGTGTAAAAATTAACTACATCCTCCTGGAACCTGAGCACAGAATTCTGAGTTAAATTCCCCCAGGTATAATACATTAAAGCACTCACTGATTTGCTTATCAAAACAAAGAATGAGTATGCACATGCCAGGGGTGGGGCACTGAGCAGTGGAGATGTCTTCCTATGGAATGGAAACTCTGAGTTTGAGATGGTAGTAGATGTGTGCCAAAGGCCACTCTCTTCTTCCCAACTGCTTCTGGTCCTGCAGGCTAGGAAAGTCCAAATAAGCCAAACCGTGTTAGTCACATAGCCCTGTCTCCTCTTGATGCACATCAGCATTTCTAGCTTGCATGGTGCATAGACTTGAGATTGACCTTTGCCATGCAGGCTATCATACCATGAATAACACAGCTTTGAATTATCTGGAACTGTAGTCTCCCAGCTTTCCATAGAATCACAGAATCATTGAGGTTGGAAAGACCACTAAGATCATCCAGTCCAACCATCAACCCATTGCCATCATGCCCACTAAATCATGTCCCTTACTGTGATATCTAGTTTGTTCTAGTTGTGCTTGGTACACACTGATCTCATGTTCTGGCTCTTACTTGACACAGAATTGCTTTTTACTTCTTTTGTTTGTTTGTTTTTAATTCATTTCCTTTGCTTCTGTTTCTTTGCTTGGCCCTGGCAAAACACAGTGCAGACCGAGTTCTGAACAGCCATTTGGGAAGAAATCATTGGAAGTTTAGAGTCAGAAATAAGAAGCAGGTATAGTACTCACAGTTTCCCCTTTTTTCTCCCCAGTCTCTGTTGAATTTCAGTGGCACTTGCAGCACAGGCCATTCAATCCACTGTAACAGGTGGGACAAGGCTGCTCCATCTTACACTTTTCTGTGCAGTTACATTTTACAGGATGAAATGCCAGTCCTGCATATTCCTTGTGCACAGTCCAGGATTGTTTGTGCTTGCTGTATATAACAAACTCTGATAGCCTGTTCTGATCACAGATAATCTAAGGAGTTGGTGTTATAACAATCTCCACTTTCTAATTCACCACTGACCCACTTTGGTAATTACAACATTACTGAGTCACTCTTGTGTTTGGCAATGGATGTCATATGTTTGAGTGATGAGTAGCCGCAGATGTTGTGTTTCACTTTATTTAACATGAACTCATGTGAATTCAATAACATCTAATCTACCGAGCACTGAATGAATCATGCAGAACAGTTTGTAAAAATCCTAGATATAGCTTCAGAGTACGCAAGCTATTTTCCTGGAAGAAGTTGCATAGAATTTCATTAACTGCATGAATCTGGTAGGAAGCTCTTCATGTGTGATGTATTGTTTCCCTGGGATTTTTAATGTGTTGTGTAAGTCTGCTGATGCAATGCTTGTCCTTTAATATGACATTATTAAAAAAAAAAAAAAAAAAAAAAAAATTTATTTTTATCCTGAGTGGGTTTATTTGGAAAATATTAGTGCCAACATACTCTTCTGGTATAGCATCTCCAGTTGATTTTATGTTGCTGACCATTTCAGCTGGTATGCTCTGACATCAGGGCATAGTCAGCCTTGCAGGACAATTTAGCAGTTGCCCTGAGAGGACCCTTAAGAGAAGAAAAGTGGCTCATGGAAAAATATCTCATCCTCCATAGAATGAGCTTACTTTAATAGAGACCATAGAGAGCTCAGAGTGAGAAAGAACATCCAGGATACTTAGCAGCATTCTGAGTCTCGGGACAACACAATACATTAGACAGTGGTCCATTTCCTACACTGTACTGTAGGTGTTCAGCAGTGACCACAAACAGTGAAAGTCTAGTTTGTTTGGTTTTCCTGATGATTCAGGGCTTAGAGCTGTTCCTTTTACTTCTGTTATAACTCTCTCTTTTTTTTTTCTTTTTTTTTTTTTTTTTTTTTTTTAATTTTACAATCATCCCTCACCAAAATCTCTCTTCTAGTTTAGAAGATGCAAAGAAAATCAACGATCTTAAATGTCTGCCTGTCAAGTCCTTGCTCAGAAAGTCTCTCTAATACTGTATTTCATGTGGTCAGTGCCAAGTAGGCAAGACATGTTTAATCTCCATCCATGCAGGAAACCATAAGCTCCCTTTCAAATGGGAGCACTGTCCCAATTATCTTTTCCTCTCTACTCCTTCCTTTGTACCTGCAACAAATTGAAGCTGCTTGATGTCAAAGCAGGATTTGAAGAATCACTGTAGAGTTACAAAGTGTTGGTTGGGTCATTATGTGTGTCATCTTTTCTGCATTGCTTCAGACCTTTGAACTAAAGAAGTCACAATTGTAGTTATTTCTGAGAAGCACTGTGTTGGAATCCAGTTTTCCCACCATCGTGGCAGAGAAGGAACAGAAAGTTGGCTATTTCAGAAGCTGCCAGGTGCTCTCACTTTTTGAAGACAGGTATGAGGGACCAATTGTCTTCTAATCACAATTGAGACTATTGGTCAGTTTCTCTCTTGGCTACACAGTTGTACATGCTTCAAGCAACTAGGCAGACTTTGCCATTTAGAAACAGAAATCATTTTTAGAAGTGGCAGAAAACACATCAGTTCCTACTTGAGTAGCAGGGGATGTTTTCTCGACGAAAATACTTTTTAAATAGCGAAGGAACATAGGCAGAACAGACAGGAACAAAGCTTGTCTGCGAGGTACCAGACTGGAAAGCTGTCACATTAGCACTAGCTACTATCTCAGCTTTCATACAGCTTCCATCATAAATGTTTAATTTAGTTTTTTCTTCGATTACATTCTTGCATGGATAGACAGGGAAAAAATGTCAGACTTGCAACGTACTTCGGCATGTTAATATCCATGGGATAAAAATCTTGAAGGAGCCTCTCTGGAGCAAGTGTCTTCAGTAAGTAACTAAACTGATGAGCTTTTAAAGAATTAATGACTTCATAAAGCTGTTTTTCTGAGGTGGCTTTTGATATTTTATTGGGATCTCTCGTGTATTGTTTTGATTCCAAACAAGCTACATTCAAAGACAGATAAATATAATAATTTAAAATGATATTTCAGAATACTTTGAAAATATTATGTCCTTACCTTTTTAGAGATATAGTGTCCTGGTCCAGTTAATGAGGAAACAAAAGGCACAGAAAAGAACACTGATTACTGAAATGGGAATAAGAATCATATAATATGTAGAACATGAGTGATGCTTTAAGTTAAACTCCTCTTCCATACCAAGCTCCTCTAGGAAATATAAAGGTTCCAATGAATTTTGAATATTCAGCACTTATGCTGAAAGATCTCTCCAGACCATTCTTTGAAATTAAAGTTCCAGGACTTATATAGAATCATAGAATCATTAAGACTGGAAGAGACCACTTAGTTTATCTGTCCACCTACCACCAATACTGCCCATGTCCTTCAATGCCTCATCTCTACACTTTTTGAACACTTTCAGGAATGGTGACTCCACCACCTCCCTGTGCAGACTCTTCCAATCCCTCACCACTCTTTCGGACAAGAAGTTTTTCATTATACCCAACCTGAACCTCTCCTGCTGCAACTTGTGACCATTCCCACTCAACCTATTATGTAATAATCTGTATTTTCCTATATGTAATTTGCCTATATGCAATTTGTCTATGTGCCTATATGTAATTTGCACTGGTTATTTGTGTTTCAATCTGTCACACAAGAAGGTTATAACTGTGACACTGAAAGCAGGCTGCTCTGTAGTAGTGAACTGTTTGTCTCATTTGATGTAATTTGGTCCAGTCAACCACATGGACAGTCTCACAATGAGCACAAATTCCTGCATATGCAGGAACTGCAACTTGCCTCCAGCTGTTCTTTTGCTGTAGAGCACATAAATATTCCCCTATGCTCAAATTTTCTTAAAAGTAACCAGCCCATTTCTTCCCTATTCCACTGTCTCCTTATTTAATATAGACAGACTGAAAAGCTCTCTCTTCTACTAAGGTAACTCTTAACGCTTCCTTACAGAGAAACAATATCACCCCTGCTTAAAAAATATCACTCTGTATGGTAAGAGGCCTTGAAGACCAATAGTAATTATGATAGTCAGAAATGAAGGACTATGAAAATGCATACACATCCTTCATCTCAACTCATGCTATCTTTATTTGGCAAGTCTGGAGATTGCATAGATTGCCTTATTTCTTTTTTTTTTTTATTTCTAACCCATTGGATTTATCAGAATGAAATGTGAGTGAAATGCTAGAATTCAGACCTTGCAGATTTCAGCCATATTTCTGCCTGTTCAGGAGATATCTTCCACGTGTTATAATTATTCTGCTCAATTCCATCACACTTCCAGTTTCTACTCCTAGTAATACAACTCACCTTCAGACTACACAGTGACAAGGGCAGTTCATGAGGACATCTGGGCTCAGTGAAGACATCTTTGCTATGTAAGCTTAATTCAATGTGCATAGAACTGGAAATGTTTTTCTGAAGGAGCAAGGGGTAAAGCTGCATCCTACACAATGTTAAATAAAATGCAGAATCTGGACCTTCTGATTACTCTGAAGAATTCTGTTCATCTCAAATTTTGGGCATAGAAAATAAAATGATGGTATGATTTAATATTTTCTTATAATTGAATTCCATGCACCAGGAGAGAAGTATAGAGAGAAAATTCTCACTTGCTACACCAGAGGCTTCATTATTAACATTTCAGTGAATAAAACAATGATTACTACAGAAAGCAATTAGCTAATGACAACTATAGTGGGTACAGTGGGTGGGTGGGAAGCTGACAAGTTTCATGTAGTTTGAGCCAACTCATTTTGCTTCACAAGTGGGACACTCTAAAGTTATATATGGCCAGCTCCCATTGTGCAGCTAATGAAAGATCATTTTTAATCAATAAACAAATAAATCAATAAACAAATGAGTCATTTTCATGCATATGTTTATTTTTCCTAATCCACTAACACAGTACCAGTCAAGAAAGGCCAGGTATGAGAAGAAAAGAGATTGTTCTTGACTTTTTAGCTGAGGGGTTTTTCTTGGGCAAGGCCAAAGTGCATATAGTTAATGTAGGTAAGATCACAGTTTCCATGCTTCCTGAACATGCTACACTTAAGTCTCTAATACCAACAATTTTTCCTAGCAATGCATTTCAATTTGTACATCATGGAACAGATAAGATTTTGAATCTAGCCTGCTGGCTGTCTAGTCGCACAATGAAGCATTTATTTCTTTTTTGACCTTTCCATTGATATGAAACATCAAGGTATGGCCAAATTGAAAGCTCTTCCAAATGGTCTAGTTCAATCAGAAGTCATGGATTTGTAGCAGTTGTTCCTGTTTGAGGTTTTATCTGCTTGTGATCCAAGTGGTCATGGATCATAACGGCACTTTCTGGTTTTAAATCTGCTAATTCCTCCTCAGTCACTCAGTTTGCTACAGGAATGTCTCAGTCTTTTACTCTACCTGACAGTCAAAAATTGGATAGAATTGAATCCTTCTATCTTGAAATGTAAATTTTATAGATATATGTATTTATATCATGTATGATTTATGCTCAAAAATCGTACTCCAGATGAAGTATAGACATTGAGCATTATTTTTTGAGCAATTGCTTATAAATTTAGTAAGCTGTCTGCCTTTTTATACTTTTCAGTCTGTTCTCATTACAGACATGGCAGAAGGCTTTGTGGTAAACTTGGAATTTGCTGAGTGAGAAAATGAAGATTCATGCACAGCTAAATTGAACAAATGGTGAATAATTGATTTAACTGACCTGACAGCTCACACTGTGCTTGTAAATAATACATAACTTTTTACTATTCTGATAATGTAGTATTCTGTGCTTCTAGATTTCTTTCAGTAAGTTACCATAAGGAGCAAATGATCTTTGACCACCCTAAAAAGGCAAAAATATGCTTACTAAGAACATTCGGGTAGCCAGGTGGAAGATAGCAATAGACTGATACAGTGCTGATGAAGCACCTTCGTAAAGGCTCTCTGCCCTTTTGCCTTTTGTCTCTAAAATACTGTTTGTTAGATAGCCTCAATATAAGCATTTCTTACTGTTCTGCCAGCCACCAGCTCCTGGAGTCAGACAGGCTCTATAAAAATTTACGAAGCACCACAGTAGTGAACAGGATCACAGTGACTTGTAACAACAAATGCAGGTGCCTGTTCTGCATTTCCTTTTCTTTCAGTGTGTAAGTTTGAACCCTTCAACAGATGCACAAACACAAGCTGTTGTTAAACTGGTTCTGAAAGTACACATGCAATTGTAAGTTGATATATGTGTCTGATAGCTTCATTGCCTTGTAACTACTGAAATAACCTGCACAATAGAAGCGTGAAAGGCAACCACTAGGATCTGGCAGCTTTCCATGCCCAATTTGCAGGAAAACAGCCAGTTACAAAAAAGTACATAGCAATGGTGAGCTTAGCCTGCATTTTGTTCAGAGAATCACAGGATTACAGGATCATAGGGACTGGAAAGGACCTCTGGAGATCATCTAGTTCAACCCCCTGCTAAAGAAGGTTCCCTACTCTGGAAAGCATCCAGACAGATTTTGAATATCTCCAGAGAAGGAGACTGCCACCTCTCTGGGCAGCCTGCTCCAGTGCTCTGTCACCCTCAAAATAAGAATCTTTTTTCTCGTGTTCCTAAGCAATTTCTTATGTTCCAGTTTGTGTCCATTGCCCCTTGTCCTGTTTCTGGGTGCCACTGAAAAGAGCCTGGCCCCACTCAGTTGTCTCCAGCCTGATAGATTCTTATAAGCATTCATAAGATCCCCTCTCGGTCTTCTCCAGCCTGAACAGCCTTAGGACTCTCAGTCTTCCCCATGAGAATGCCCTTCAGGCATTTCTGCAGTCATCCACTGGACTCTCTATAAGTTCTCTGTATTTCTTGAACTGAGGAGCCCAGACCTGGACGCAGTGATCCAAATGTGCCCTTCCAGGGCAGAGGAGTCTTGGAGGAAAACCTCACTCAACCTGCTGGCCACTCTCTTTGTAATGCACACTGCTGAGTCACCCTTCTGTCCCCCAGAACATTATTCGATTCTGTCTGCTCACCACTGAAATATGTCCACTTGGTTATGGCAGTGCAACAGGGAACTAAGGATTAAAGAAATAGAGATACCACATCACCTGTCGGAGTGGCCAGCTGAAAGCTCTGAGAACTGCATGCTGCCCATCAATCCAAAAGAAAATTCTCAGCAAAGCCAGTAGGAAGCACAGTCTGTTCCAAAGCTGGACTACAGTTCTCACTTTTGGAGAGAATATTATGTGTTACCTTTTTGCATAATCCTTTTTAACAATATTGTCTGTGTCAAGTTACAATTAGTACATTCTAGCTGAGAGCTGAAACACACCTAGCTGAGAAATGTGAAATTGTGATAACGAGTGCAATTTTAACTGAAATTGCTGCACCTCTTTCTTTTTAATATTGTATCATTTTTATGCCTAAAGGTTGGTGTGCAGAGTGGCTGAGTTAAAGTATCTGCAAAAAGTTTCTGGGCTTGATTCCAACTGCTTTCTCTGAAAGCAGAAGATACCATTTTCCTCTCCATCAGACAATTTGTGTGGAAGGATCTACCTAATGTCTATAATGTTTATTCTTCCTTCTGACTTCTGAAATTTATCCAGTCGAAGTGTGTGAAAAACCCAAAGTAGGTGTAACATTTGGTGTGTGGATAAGTAGCCAGGCAGAAAAGGATGATGGGGAGCCATGCAGAAGGAGGTTTTTCCAGGTTGCATCCCTGTGCTACAGCCTCTTGTCCTCCCAGGCAAACTGGGATCTGACAGATAAGTCATACAGCAGAAGAGAGTATGCTGCATGGTGTCAGATAACTGTGTGAACTCTACTCCGAAGAGTGGTGAAGGGAATTCATTGCACAAGTCTCACCTTCAGAATTCAAGACTTGGCCAATCTTCATATTTTAAGGTTCCCCCTTTTTTCTTTTTGTGTTCCCAGATTGTCAGTTCCTTTCTTCCCCACTCCAGCACGAATAAGGTTTTCTTTTAAACATTCACACATGGAAATCCCTGAGAGAAGGAGAAGAAAATTAGGGATTGCAGAGTTAGTCAGTATTTGTGCTCAGTTACACCAATTTGGTGCTGATAAAAGACGGAGCATCTGAAATTAGAATCACCATATCAAGCCATATCACTTAGCTTTGATTGAATGGGACTGAAGCTTCACTGATGCGGTCTACAAAACAGTCACGTTTTATGTTAAATGGATGAAAAGAAGGAAGGCAGAGAGAAACATACAGAGGGAGATCTGTAGGGCCTTGTGGACACCCACAGACACTCTGCAGTGCTCTGCAAACTGACAAGCAAGACCATCCCTCTCACAGCATGTTCTCTAGGGAAAGTCCATCAGAAATCAGTATCTCTTTTGCCTTTCCTTTTATCATAGGCTGGGTCAAGTAGATTGGGCCACAGATACGACAGTTGACTATGCAGTGATGAATTTTTCGTGCTGATTTCCCAGCAAAGATTAACAAAATATTCCAGGTTTGTTGCAACAGCAAAGATTAACAAAATATTCAGGGTTTGTTGCAACAACCTACTATTTTATGTACATACCTGACGTTCTCCAGTCTGCCCCCTTGTATAAAGATTTATGCTCTTCTTACAGTAACATGGCACTATCTTGTTACCCCATTTTCTTCTTTGTATCTGATTTCCTGCCTGATTTTTAGGCTCTCCATGAAGGCAGTTCTCAGAATGTTCTCTCACAGTAGCATGAACAGCAGTAGCTGCTGTTAGGCTCCAGTGTGAGTTGCATGGGTCTAATCCAGAGTTAGATCTGGGTGGGTAAATAGTCAGGCTTGTTTTTTTAGGATTAGGTTTTGCTTTTATCTTGTAGGTGTTTATGTTTCCTGATGCCATGTTTGCAGGCAGGAGAGAATGAACAAAGTCCAGATCCTCTGGACTCTGACCCTAGAGGAATGGCCACTTCCCCTTTACACAGCAAGTTCGCTGCAGCCCAGCATTCCCTTCCTTCCCCAGCACCAGGGGCAGTGTGCGCTATTCTGACAAAACAGATGTTTTACCTAAAAGCTTTTGACCCTTACAAATGAATCCCAAATGCATCATCTGCCTCAACTAACAAAAGGAGCTAAAACATGAAAAGAGAGCTGAAGTGGGGAATGCAGCACTTTGATACCATTGAGAAAATGAGAGAGAAAAGGGGACAACACTATTTTAAGATCACAGACAAAAGGAGAGAACCCGCAGTGGTCTTCTGGTCAGTTTGGAACAATAAAACAAGGCCTTAGGAGAAGTAAAAATGTCTTTTGGCATTTTCAAAAGACTGAAAACCAAAACATCCACCACCTTATATCCCACATTCAGAGACACTGAAGCCAAGTGCGGCAGTCCTTGGTGCAGACAAGCACTCTGATACTCATCCGATAGTGGCAGCACTGCTCACACCAATAGTTTATTTCCAGTGTGAAAAATTATATTTGTTCCCCATGTTGTAGTTTATAGATGCCTGACATGCAGACCAAACCAAAATCCCCTACTAGTCCAACATATTTGAGCCTTCTCCTTTGGGCTGTGATCAAGAAACCCTGGGAGGGCTTGTTTTTCTCCCCTGACAGTGAATGGAAAGACCAGTTCTGCTGTATGTATCTCCTCTATAAAGATCTAAATACGCAGAGTATCTGATTGGGTTTCAAAACATTTCTGCTTAATTACAGGCCTCTTCATATAAAATACCTTCTTCTGTCCTGGCAAGGTGAGATTATTTCTCAGAACTCCATTTTTTCATGTTTATTAATTTCTATTAATTTGGTGTTTATACAGCATTCTATATGTGTCTGGTGATTTGGCAACATATGAAATGCAGTTCCTGGTCTTAAGTATTTCCACCGTATTTTTAGATAATACTGTAAAGGATAAAATAAAAAGCCAAGAAGAGGAAAGAATGAAAATACAAGACCACAAGGATGTTGGATGTTCAAGACATGTATCTTGGTTTTATTCTTTTATGTAATACAGATTTGTGATTTATAAAAAGACCTATTAATATGCATATATCATTTAGGGAAATGATTGTACGGAAGAAATATGTTACTCAATCCAAATAAAATAAAAACATTATCATAATTCCAGAAGTTCTGGCACAACAGAGAAAGTAATTCCTTTAGAAGGAAAATCCTGATGAGCTGAAGATTAGATATTTTTCATAGATTGTTAAATCATTTTAAAACATGGTAATCTCTTCCCCCCACCCCCCCTCAATAAAAAGCTTTTGAGCGTTTTTTTATTTGCCCCCAGTCTTCTGAAGCAGTATTATATGTCTTAACCTTATTGAAAAAATTCTGAAGTGCAATTCCTCCCCTTTTTCCTCTGTAAATGGGAGTGGTGATTCCAGGGTTTACATCTTAATCCAACCTTCAGGCTGTAAAGAACACATGAAGTTTATGGGACTTTTTTGCAATGCTGAATACAACACTATGGGAAGCAAAGAAGTGTGTGCTAGACATGAGTGAGTGAATGAGAAAATAAAGCTATGTCAGGTGGGAGCCTGAGTCAATCAGGAATAAGTAATCAAACAAAACAAGACAAATAAAGGTAATGGCAGCTATGGAAGAATTAGCAAAAAAAAAAAAAAAAAGAGTTTTTTTGTAAAAGAAATTGCAAGGATGAGACAATTTTAGATAAGTTACAGAATTCCTGCGGCTTGTCTGGAAAACAAGTTGGAAGATATTTAGAGTAAGTAGACAGGAAGAGCAGTTAAGACTTCTGCATATTAAAAAAAAATAAAAATTAAAAAGTAATAATATTAAAATAAACAGTAGTGAAAAGACTCTCAGGCTAGAATTAAAGACATAATAGACATAAGACATAATAGAAATTGTATTGAAAATATTTCCTGAAGGAGAAATCAGGGGTCACTAAAAGATTACTTTTAACTAATGCTACTTGATTGGTTGTTAGTGTTCAGCTTCCTCTGAAGTGACAACGCCTTTGGGTGACCATTGCCCTCTTCCCGCAATTATTGGTGCTCTGGCAATTGCACTCAGTTTTAATCACTTAGATTCCTGAATGGTACTATTCTTGGTTTCAAACAAAAGAGCCAACTGTCAAGTCAGAGATGTCCACTTCTTTTGGCAGCTTCCTGGTTGTTTTTTTCTTGAAAACTTTTTGAAGACTCTGTTAGGTTCAGGAACTATAGACTCATAGAATCTTTAGAGTTGGAAGAGACCTTTTAAGGTCATCTAGTCCAACTCCCCGGCAATGAACAAGGAAATCCATAGCTCAGTCAAAGTCCCATCCAGCCTGATCTTGAATGTCTCTGGGGATAGGGCATCTCTGAGCAGTTTGTTCCAGTGCCTGACCACACTTATCAGAAAAAAATTTATTCATTACATTCAATCTAAATATTCCCTCTTTTAGTTTCCCCTTGATTGATCACCATAGACCTTGCTAAAGAGTCTGTCCCATTCTCTCCTGTAGCTCCCCTTTAGATACCGAAAGGCCTCACAGCCTTCTTTCCTCCAGACTGAACAGCTCCAGTTCTCTCAGCCTTCTCCTGTAGGGAAAGTGTTCTATCCCTTGAATCATTTTTGTGGCCCTCCTCTGGACATGTTCGAACAGATCCATGTCTCTCCTTTAATGAGGACTCCACATCTGGATGCTGTACTCTACATGAGACCACACCAGCACAGAGCAGACGAGCCGGATGACGTCCCTTGCCCTGCTGGCCATACTTCTTTTGATGCAGCCAAGGTTCAGTTGGTTTTCTGGGCTGTGAGGGCACATTGCTGGCTCATGTCCAGCTTGCCATCCACCAGTACCCCCAGGACCTTTTTTTCAGGCCTTTGCTTTATTCTTACATCCCCCAGCCTGTGCCTATAGCAGGTATTGCCACAACCCAGGTGCAAGACTTGCACTTGGACCTGTTGAACCTCATGATCTTCTCCTGGGCCCACTGCTCGAGCCTATCTAGGTCTCTCTGGGTGGCATCCCTGCGCTGTGGCTAACTTGAGCCACAGTGGGACAGTTGTGACTGACCCAAGTGGGAGTTTTCTTTCTGCTCTATGGTAGCTTAAACCATTCTACTGTGAAGTTGCTGCTTATGTATTTTTACAGGAGAAAACACATCCAAACTCTACGCTGCTGTGGAACCTATATAGACTTTAAAGCGTGAACATGAAATTTAGTAAAAACATAGTTACTGTAGTTCACATCTTATGCATAAATAGCTTACAAGGCAGCATATATTGGGCATAAAATCAGAGAAGGAGTTAATCTTAACTACTCTCCAGAAATTAAAAGGACTGTTTTCCTTCCTGTCTTCCAGCACACTTTTTCCATCAGATTTTCTCTTGTCACTGAAGGACCATACTCTCAGGATACAGTCTTTTTATTTTCCTGAGGATTCGCCAAAACTGAAAAAGCAGCCCAAATTTAATAGCAAAATACACACAATGTCACAGCATTTATGTATTTAAAAATCTGATTTAAAAATAAATAAATAAATAAATAAGCCTCAGAGGTTTAAGAATAACCTTTGATAGAGACAAACTCTATTCTCTAGGCAGCTGCCATACATCCAGCTTCATACACCAAATTATTAAGATGCAGTGAGTTGTGTTTTGAGGAAGGGAAGTTTTTAATTGGATGAGTCATTAGTGAGCTTTCTATTGACACCTGGCACCAGTCACACATACACCTGGCACCAGCAGCAACACACCTGAGACTGACCGAGACACCATGTTTCTTTAAGATAAACTGTAAACTGGCAAATAAACCTTTTTTGTGGTTTTAAGAAGAGGTTTTGGTACCTGCAATTTCATGAATTGTTCTTCAAAACAGTTTTCTAGGGGAATCAGGACAAATGAATGTTTAACTGGAAAAAATTCTCCAAAAAACTGATTAATTTTTGCAGGAAGAGAGGGAACTGGAATTTAAAAGTAATCAAGGTATACCAGTTTTTCTGTGCATCTGTATTGAACACCATGACAGTTATCACACCATCAGTAAATTATGGGAACTTTCTCTCAGAAGAGCACACTGTTACAATGCAGTGGCAGGTATGCAACGTTCATTGGTTCTGCACTGTAGGAGTACCAATGTGGACGGGTTGCACCAAGGACTTCATGTCCACGCTGTCTGATTCTCAGAGAGCTGTTTCAAACTACCTACAGACCGTGGACTGAATTGCAGTACTTAATGTGTGCCTACATTAAAAAAAAAAAAAAAAAAAAAAAATTGTTATTTTGATAAGTAATGTACCATTTGAAATGACAGAAGAGTGAGGCTTTGTAAGGACTGACTCAGAGGTTTCTGTCTCTCCTGAATAACAGGAATTACCTCTAGGGAAGGAGGAATACTCTAATCTGCAGCCTGTGTCTCAGCAGACTTACCTTTCCTCCATACGTACTCTAGCTTTATCATACATAAACGTCACTGGGTCAGATGCTGAGGGACTCACTGCAAATTGGAAGTGATCAAATATTCAGCCCATTGTGCTTTTGCATGTAGATTGTTTTACATTATAGTTCACAAGTAATTTCAATAATTGTTATAAATGTGTATTTAGACGACTTCATAAGGAAGGAGATACCTCACACTGATGATGTACGATCAAAAATATGTCTTTGTGAAATACCATTCAATGCACTAATTCTATTTTCATGTATAAATTTCAAATGGAATTACTCCATGTTTACAGCCATCCTCTCGGGAGCTGAATTTGCCTTGCTATGTTTGTGTGAAGAACATTGGTCATGTGCTCCTTCAAATCCCTTTTTCCTCCTTTTCTAATGTACACAGAGACAGTATAATTGGTTAAGTGGAGCTTTTCTGATTTATAGTAACATGCTGAAAGGAATCTCCTCTATTTAGAAACATGGTCATTATGTAAATACTAAGACCTGCATTATAAAAAATAT